TTGGTTGCAAATTAGCTGTTGTTATAAATGTAAAAAAAAATAATAGTGCTGCAACCTGTTGGTAATCCTTGTAACTTTAATGCTATTGAACATCATAGAACAGAACGACAGAACCAACTTGTTTAATTGAAACAGCTGTTATGATTCATTAATTCCTTTTAAATATGAAAAATCATAAGGTTAACATGGGAAACTCCAGAGCCACTGGGGCGGAGCCCGAGAGTCCGATCAGAATAAAAACGGCTTAGTTTTCCTATTTAATGCCTAAAAAATCAGTGTACCAAATTTCAGCCTCCAAGGTAAATGGGAAGTAAGAGAATTAGTGATGAGTGAGTGAGTTAGTCAGTCAGTCAGTCAGTGAGTCAGTGAGGGCTTTGCCTTTTATATATATATAGATTATTTATTCTAAAAATATCTCAATGATTATAGAAAAAAAGATTCTATAACCGTTACTGTATCAACTCCGGCTCTGCTTTGGATTTTTTAAAGCGTCTAAGTTATGAAAATAATGTTATTGATATGTTTTCATGGAAACAGTATTAAAATTACAAAGTATAGATGTTTTATATGAATTTGGAGGCTACTTTAAAAAAATTCTAACTGCTTTAACATGTGTTGGATTAACTTAACATAAGTTGCACATCACATTGTTTTTTATATGTATTTAGGTAAATTAAGTTATTGTGTTTTGCTAAACCTATGCTTAAAATAAACTAAAGAATATCATCAATAACTAAATTGTGTTGATTTTTGTTTTCTAAAATCTGTTGTATATATGTAACTATATTTAATTATCAAATCCTAATACAAAATACTCTTATTTTATCTTAACATAGCTTTCATTTCACATTTACTTTATTTGATACATTTATTATTTGTGTTTTGCCACACAACTGATTAAATTAAACCAAGGAAAATATCATAAAACTAAGCAGTACACAGTGTTCTTTTGTTTCTAAAATCAATGAAATATCTGTTACTATGTTTACTTAATGGTAAGTGTGAAAATGTAAAGGCAATGGACGATGGAACTGATTAAAAGAACGGGTTTGTATATTAAGTTGTTTGTTGATATTTTTGTAGAGTAGAATCAGAGATGCAATGAAACATATACTGTATTTGCTATTACATTTTTTAGTCCTTGATGCTTTGATAATCATATTAGTTAGTCTGCTGTCTTTAATGCTAAATTATTTGTTAACCTTTTTGGGGGTGTTGCTGAAGGTCTAAGTCCCGGAAGGTCTAATTAGACCTTCGACACACATTTTGCAGTTTGTACTTGGTGCTGAGGGTCTAATCTGGCAGTATGTCGAAGGTCTAAGTCCCGGAAGGTCTAAGAGTACAGTCAATGCAAAAAACTCATCCACTCATGCTGTTTTAGACCTTGTGGGATTAGACCTTGGGCACACAATGTATATTTTGAAAATAAATTTTCATAAAATAAGAGTTGCTGAAGGTCTAATTCTCGGAAGGTATTGACTGATAAATTAAACAGGCTCATTATGGACTTGGAGACCCAAGCCCGCTTTTAGTAGGCTCATATTGGACTTGGCCTAGACTCATATTGGAATTGGTTTTAGCACATTTTAGACTTGGGCAAACAAGCTCACACCTATAGACTCACTCAGAACTTGGTACGAAGTTTTATATACTTCAATTACTGTCATGATCAGAGATAATAATAATAATTATTATTATTATAGGCTATAGTAATAGTAATATAATTTATACCTATTTAACATATAAGCTGTTTCACACCATTCATTTGCTAGCCCACATTTTTTCTTATAATTATTTTTTTACCAAGAAAGATTTATGATAAAATGAAGCCTATTTTATGAGTGATCTTGAAAAAATATTGGTTATATATGAGGTTTAGAAAGCAAGACATTCACATTTCAAGACAATTTATTAATATAATAAATACAATGCCCACTATCTTCCACTTGACCTTCAACTTCTTTTCTGGACCCATCAACTCCACCGCCTGCTTCAGAAGATCTATAAAAAATACAATTGCATTAGAATTATTTGGTTTATTAAAATTTATCATTTAAATCATTTTTCATTATTTTTATTTGTTATTATAATTATTTGATTATTTGGAATTTGTTGGTGTTGCAAACACAGGGTGTTAACTTACCTTTGTTTTTAAAATTGTTATCAAACTTTTATTTCTTACTATTTTACTTTTATACGTAAACTAATGGTTTGGCCTGTTTTAGCGAATTTCCCTATAGGGAAGTAGCTATTACCGTAGGTGGCACGGTAAGACCTAGACCCGGGACCGATTTACTTTTTCATTTTGATGTCCCCAGAGGCCAAAAACACCATTCGTTCAAATTTTTATATATGTATATATATATATAGACTTTTATATATATATATATATATATATACGTCCGTGAACGCGATAACTTGAGTAATTTTTGTCCGATTTTGATGAAATTTGGTTTAAAGGTGTAAAGCGGGATAAACTTGAATGAGTTCGCGAACCAGCACGATCGGACCATGGGAACGGGGCTTTACGGGGGGTTTTATGGGGTAAAAATTGGTTTTTCTCACTTTTGACCCTCAAAACATAAAATTTCCCGATTTCTCTTTAGACCTTTTTAAAGAGCTTAAAAAAACAAATAATTAAGTATATAAAAGTATTTTTGTTCGATTATTAGTAAGGGAGAAAATTAAAAAAATTTTAAATTTAAAATTCCCATGTTATTCTTATGGAGAATATTGTCAAATGTTGTAGTTTGCTTGTTTATGGATATATTTTAATCAAACTTGGCAAATTTATTTATTTTGTACTAAGCTCTCAATATTTTACTCAAAAACACACTTTATTATTTTCCTTGTGTAGCAGCAAACCTAGGTACTCGTTAAACCTAATGTTATTAAAATATATTTAACTGAAAATCAATTCAGACAAATGGAAATTCGCTTAGTCGGCAGGTTTGCTGCGGCGGGGGTATATTTATCTGTAGACTAGGTTAAGGCATTGACTATAATGGTTAAGGTTAAACACAAATTTTGGCACTGTTCTGTTGAGTTCAGCAGTAGACTATTAGAGTATAGTATAGTGAGTGACGTTGTCGATTCAGTGAAGCGCTGAGTATGTCAAAGGTTAAAGCACAAAAGGTTTAGGCTATAAACAAAATTCTACGGTTCTTGATGCAATGAAATTAATTGTTTGCTTAACTTAGCTTACTTATATCAAATAATATCCAAGCTACCCCCTAAAAATTCCTCAGGGATAGATGAGATAACAAACAAAATGGTAAAGCATTGCAAAAATCAGATAGTTGAGCCACTAAATGTAATAAATGCATCAATTAGACAAGCAACCTGTACCAGACCTAGCTAAAATAGCCTTAGTCTATCCAAAATACAAGAAAGGAGAGAAAACAAATATATCGAACTATAGACCAATATCTATCCTACCAACACTGTCTAAATACATAGAAAAAAGCATATACCCAATTGATGAACTTTCTAGAAAATAATAATAAAATTTCTCAATCACAGCATGGATTTCGAAATGGTAAATCCACCAACACAGCATTAGCAACCCTTTGTGATAAAATAACTGATATATGGGAAAATAAATCCCAAGCAACCGGTATCTTCTTGGACATAGAAAAAGCATTTGACAGCTTGGACAGGAAAATTCTTATAAAAAAACTCCAACAACTTAATATCACTCATAAGCATTAGATTGGATACAAAACTATTTAACTAACAGGAAGCAACAAGTCGAAATAGAATACACAAAGAACTACTATGAAATTAAAAACAGGTCTAAACTACAGACAACCTATCAAGGAATTCCACAGGGCTCCATACTAGGCCCCCTGCTTTTCTTAACATACATAAATTCATTTCCCACCAATTTTACAGAAGACAGTGCCTGTATAATATGTTTGCAGACGACACAACAATCATCACACCAACCGATGGTAAAATCGTAGAACTTCAAAAATCCAAAACTCTACAGCTACTTGCAACGAAATAAACTTATTAATAAATAAACAGAAAACAATAGTAATAAACTTCAAACCTACAAACCATAACAATGACAATTCAACTGCAGATGAACACTCACAAACTAACACTAAATTTCTTGGAATAATATTGGACAAAAACCTAACATGGCATGATCACCTTCTAAAACTAGGTGGAAAGCTGTCACAAGTTGTATATGCATTAAGAAGGATTAGAAGCCTAACAAACACAGAAATCACTATTGCTTATCATGCAATTTTTCATAACATATCAGATATGGCATAATAGCCTGGGGCTCTGCAAATGAAATCCACATCGAGAAAATAATAACCTCACAGAAGAAAGCAATTCGGATAATAGAACAAATCGATCAAGATGAATCACAAGCCCACTGCAAACCTCTTTTTATCAAAAACCGAATCCTAACTGTAATCTCCCTTTACCTTTTTGAAACTATTACCTCAATCAAATCAAATCCTCCCCAACTCAGAATAGTCAATGATGAAACAAAACAAATCTAGACTTAGGGTACCATAGGCTAAACAAAACCAGCAAAACTCCAAACAACATGGGGATCAAAATTTTTAATCTCTTTCCAAAAAAACTCAAAGAAATAAGTGAAAATAAAGCTTTAAAAAAACAACTCAAACAATACCTAATTGAACGACCATATTATAAATTAACTGAATTTATCAACGAACACAAATAAACCTAAACAACGAATAGGAAAGCAATGCTCATGCAATTACACTCTCACACATATACACTATTACAAGAAACTGACGATTTCCCTACAAGGACGGCGGAGAAGACATCGATGGTAAATGGTAAATGGTAAAAGGTGGCCGTGCCTCTACGATCAGCGGTTCAGCTGGGTTCAGCCACATTTTACTTACTGTAAATGTCTTTGAAATTGTAGTGGCAGCTAACGAAACATGTGATTGTGTAGATTGTACAAAAAAAGTTAACTTAAGTCAAAATTAAGTCCACTTGGTGGTGCGTGGTGTGATACCACGACCCTTCGAAGAGCATGGAGTAGAGGCCTAGGTCAGTTTGTGCCCTTTTTGCAGTGTAAAAAATCCAAATTTGTTTTGTTTATTTATAAGAACTTAGTTCAAGCTATCAATACGTTTCTAGTGAAGTGTTCGTTTTATAAAACAGACTATTATGAACTTTGAAGACTATGAAACACTTCCCACCACCAATGTTTCCACACACATGACGGCTGGAGCGATCGCTGGGGTTATGGAACATTGTGTAATGTACCCCCTTGATTCTGTAAAGGTGGGTACAATTATTCTTATAAATAATTATTTGATGTTTAATTTATGTTATGTATTATACTGTCGATCAAAGGCTTTTGACTAAAGGTTCAAGACCTTGCTTGTAGGTTAAAATCCACTTTCACATGATCAGCCTGTCACTATTTAGTTTTCAAATTGGTCCGATTTACTACCTACTTTACCGATGACAATACGTGGAATTGTAAACATTATAGAGCCTTGATATGTTTTATCATAATATATTACTGTAAAATGTAGATAGGCCGAGGCCCATGCATTACTTAGGTGTCAGTGGTCTCACATTTTAAATGTGGCCTAGTTTGAATTATTGAGCCTTTTAAATTAGCAGTAAGTTAACATTATGTTCTGTTTGTCGGGTAGGTATTTAGGTAGGGACTTATTCGGGACCTAGACCCCAGCTTAAATGTTTTAAAATCACTTTTAAACTGTTCTAGGACATCAATACTAGGCTACAACTTTATTAAAGATTTTTTTTGGCGCCGAGGCCCCCTTTTATTAGTTAGGCCTACTAAAATATAGCCTATATAAACAATAATCCCAACTTACTAGGGGGCCGGTGAGATTTCGGGATTTGGGTGGGGGAGATAAAATGTGGTTAAGTAATCATGGGGAGAAAAGGGTAATTCGACGGGTAAAAGGATAATTTATAGGTAATTACCCAGCAAAAATGGGAAATTAGTCTGTATAAATGGGTACTTTCCTTTGCCGCCGACAACGACGAGCAGAGCCGGCAGAGACAGGAAGTCCATCAGAATTGTATTACACCATATGATATATAGGCCTAAATAAAAACAATAACAAAGTAAAAATAAAGTTTGTTTATTTTATCCTAGGCCTATATATTTAGTAAAAAAATGGCTTTAAAAATATTTAAATAGGTAGGTCAATAAAAAGTGGTGTACCGTAACATTTATCACCTGTGTGAATAGCCTACTTACTAACCGTACTTACTTACTTACTCCTTCTTCATCTTTTACCCAAAAAATGGATAGATTGCGTCTCGACAAAAAATAAAAACATTTCTTTTACATGCACAAAAGAAAAAATAAGTCCACAACGTGTAAAACCGTTTAAGATATAAAAAATCAATACCTGGTATACATATATACAAGTTTAGTTAAAAATGACTTCCAGGGATGGGGTGAAGTGGGGTAAGTGTACGCACGAAAATCACTAGTTGCACTTTAACTTGCAATAACTTCAATTGTATTTAAGATAGGCTATCTTAATGAAATTTGGTGAGCAGAAAGCTTGGAATGTGGTCTATAAGTATAATTTTTTTTAAAATCTTAAATCATATTTTTTTATATACTTTTTTTTGTAAAGTGATGTCCCGTGCGTACACTTGCCCCTAAAATCGGGGTAAGTGTACGCCCCCCCCCCCCTTATATTCCATATAACTCGCTTTAGGTTCAATCTGGGGCAAGTGGATTATAGCTTAGAATCTGCTGATTAAAATGGTTTTTTAGGCTATTTGTAAAAATATCTCAAACCGTTCAGGAGTTATGAACTTTTTCGTGGAACTCCGCGTACAATTTCCGCAAAATGGCAAATTTGTAAATTTACAATTATTAATATAAACTTGTTAATATATTTTTATTAATTATTCAAATGCTGTAAAAACTTCTTTGACGGTTTTTTTTTTTACTGAACATGGACACTAAAGAGGGAAGCGTCGAAAATCAGCTCCCCCCGTCTTGCCTGGTGTAGGCTCTGGCAAAACCTTCAGTATGTCGTCATTGGGAATGAATGAAAAATCTTCTTTTTCAGGCCAGTAAAATGTGTTGTCACCTTTTTTTCGTGTAAACTTAACGATAGGTCCAATGTCATCAATTGATGTGATTTGACCAACAAAGTATAAAACTTTTGTCTTCGTTTCAAATCTTGACAAAACCCAATTTACAACTTTTGGTTTCTCTTCAGATCCTTTTTTTGCTTCTTGCTCTTTAAAATTTTCAACTTGTTCTAGGTCATCCAGTTCATCAAACGGCAATACATCGGAATCAGAATCGGTGGGAATGAAAAATTTCTCTCTGCTGGCTGTGGTAGCTTTATTATTTGTTTTCAGTTCTTTCCTTTTATTTGTACTTTTAAGGAGATCTAGTGCAGTATTGCTTTCAGTTTCAAACTTCAGTTGTTTTTTCATAATTTTTTTTTTTCATTTTCTTTTTTCTTCCTAGTTTTTGCGACTTCTTCTTTTTTCATGTTTTTGAGTCTCATTGCCACTTCTTCGCTTGTAATAACCTCAGCCACTGAATGAATGAATGAATGAATGAAAAAGTGCTTTTATTTACAAATATTTGTACAAAAAATAACTTCTTAGCACTAACTACAACAACAATGGACAAAAAGCCCGTCTGTTGCGGCTGGCGTACCTGGTTAGCATTAATTTGTACAATTGACTAACGTAAACTGTTCAGATTAACTGTTAACGGATAACGTAAACTGTTGTGTAAATCAGATTAAAAATTAAATAATAAAACAATTAATTTTTTGAAAATAGACATATTTCTCAAACGGATTTATACATATATGTATATTTACATAAATTAAAAAATAATTATATTGAGAATATAAGTAAACTTTTTTAGAAACACAACAAAAGCCTACATTCTAGCAATATTTAGCAATATTTGCTCAAATTAATATATTGTATATAGATTTCAATGATTCCTGGGAGATAAATAATACATTTATATCTTAGAACTAATACAATTTTGATGCCTTAATGAAACTAATAAATAATAATAAAAAAGATTTTAAAAGTAAGGATATTTGGGAAAATGATTCTCACAGATTGAATTCTTGTATTAAACCCCATCTTTTAGACCAAGCATCTTTTAAATAATTACTTAAGGCCCGCCAATCCCACCCATTCAAAATCTCTATATATTGTTCCTTTGTCAAAATTGGACAGCCAAAATAAAATTTCCTTATTGAATTTAAAACGAACTTGATACTTTCTTCCTTTTCATGACTTCAACAACATTTTGCTTTACAGTCTTTAATAAAACTTCTTCAAATGAGGCATTCGAAGAAAAGAGAGGCTGCACTTGAGAAGGTTGATTGAGGTTGCCAGGTTGACTTGGTGTACTAGATGAACAAGAAGCACCTTGCATCGGATGTTCTACGTCGGGTGATCCAGGAATGCTAGTGTCAGTGGGGTCGGGAGGATTTTCTGTAAGGCCTTGAGCTTCGGCTTCGTGTAGTTCATATCTACGTAAAATGTCAGGATCGTATTTTTCCTTTGGTACCACATTACAGTCATATGGGTAAATACCCGCTTTTTTGAACCCACTTTGCAAGATTGTCGCCGGTGTACTATTCCACACTTCACCAATTAGGACAGAGAATATTCGTTTTGGAATTTTCACCCCAACATGTGTGCGTTGCCAAGCAACAAGTTTCGCATCCCATTTGCTTTTCAAACCTTTGAAGACTGTAAGATCCATTGGTTGTAACAAGTGACTAGTGTGCGCGGGTAGTTTAAGTATTACAACATTGTTGGCAATTGCCAATTCAACCACACTTATATCAACATGGGTTGTGTGTCCATCATACAGCAGCACTACTACTGGCCTCTCTGTTCCACATTTCTTTAAGAACACATTCTTGAAGTAGTTGGCAAAAATTTCTGTTTCCATCCAACCGTTCTTTGAAGAAGCGTATGAAGTCCCTGGGAACGCCTCACTTTCTGGGGCTAACCATGAGTCCCACACTGCTTTGCCCTTAAAGACTATGAGAGGAGGGAGCTTTTCTCCTGCCGCATTGCCGCCAAGTAATACAGTCGTATTTTCTCTCCCTGGCCCACTAGTGATTCTTGACGAAGGGCGGTTCACTTCACCAACTACTTTGGTTTTAGACGGTGAGTTATTCCCGAGATTAATATAGTGATAATTAATAATGTATTTATTGTGTTAACATATTAAACCATTCAACTACAATACTCTTGTTTTACAAACACTCCCCAACATAACATAAGATGTAAATAAATCATATGATTTATATTAAAGACAGATCAAGAGGATCAAGAGACCAGTACATCCTCCTCTCACATGTATCTGCATCACACACATGTATGAGCATCTGGGGTAGGTCTCGTGAGCTTCATTTTTAATATCCGATAAATGAACTCGGTTTCTTCTTAATCTTCCTCCGTTTTCTGTTTTCCCTATGTAAGACCTTGGCTGCTCGTGCTTTTGGATGATTTTTCCTTTAACTTGCTTGTCCCTTACATAAACCATTTGTCCATCTTGTAGCTCTTCTCTTTCCTTCGTTGCTTGCCTCTCATCGAACCGGATTTTCCTTTTACTTCTTAACTGTTCTTCTTTGGATCTCAGTGTTTTAGGATCTGGTGTTTTTGGGACAAGGTTGACAGGAGCAATGGGCACAACCCCTCTTACTTTCCTGCTCATAAGCAACTCTGAAGGAGAGTAACCATTCTCTAAAGGCATCGAGCGGAAAGCCAAGAGGCCCTTATGTAGGGTATGTCTTTGCACTTGAGAACAATCTTCTTAGCAGTTGCTACTGCTGACTTGGCTAGACCATTGGACTGAGGATAATTAGGACTACTAGTTGTTATAGTAAATCCCCAATCTCTTCCAAAGTTCTTAAAATCGTCGCTATCAAACGGGGAACAATTATCACACCGAAGTGTGTGTGGAATACCAAATTGTGAAAAGATTCTTTTCAGTATTTTGATAGTGGGTACTGCAGCAGTCGTCTTTATTGGTATTACATCCAGATACCTTGAGTAGTAGTCCTGTATCACAAAAAACAATTGACCCTTGACTCTGGCGAAGTCACACCCGACTAGGGACCACGGTAGTTCAGGAAATGGAGTAGTGATCAAGGGTTGCTCCTTTAAAACTCTTGGATAGGTCGCAGAAAGATCAGGATAGTCTAAGGACACAACATCCGAGGGTTGTTTGTAACCAAGTTCAGTGTATATAATCAGGGATAACGCTTTAATGGCAGTAC